AAATCCTGTTTATTCTTATGTATTATTCATTACAAAATTAAGTAATTATGACTGAACAATTTTGCAATTTTTATATTTATAAATGTCTTTTTTTTTTCAATAAAAATTTTTAGTTTTTAGATATTAGAAATTGACTTAGGGTTGAGAAAGCTGGAAATTAGTTTTTCCATTCAATTTATTTGAATAGAAAAAGAAGGCTTTGGTGGAATGCAATGACATTGACGAATGACTGAATGACAATATTATGACAAAGATATTGATAATTTAAAATTGTGAAACTGAATTAAAATTCTTATTTAAATTGTATTAGCTAGTTTCAATAATAATAAAACCGGTACAATAAAAATCATTAATTATAAGGTTTTAAAACTCTTTTTTTGGCAAATATTTGGTATTTCACCATCAAAATCAATTTAAAATTTAAAAAATCCAATATTTAGTTTTTTTTAAATTTATTTTAAAACTGTTAACTACATTATTAGACATTATATTTATATAATCTTTTTAAACATTAATATACCCCAAAATCTTAACGAATCCTTTTAAAAATCCTAGCCTACTAAACTGTACTAGTACTAATAAAAATTCTAGTTGTACCGGTATTAGTAATTAATAATAAACTTTTAAATACATAACACCACAACTGGGATCATGGACATCTGTGTGGCAGTGTATGCAAAAATGAAGTTTAAATATGATAAATCTCAAAAATTGTATTTTAAATTAAACTTTACAATTTGCTATGTCAATGTGAGGCTTTAGAATGCTTTTCGCCTCAAGTATTTTATTATTATTATAGTAGCAAAGGACATGTGAAAACTAATGGAAAAAAAGATTTTCCTAGAAATATAGGCTATGCTATATTATATATTTGAATTTAAAATTTCAAATGTAATCTTAATATGTAAATATTATTTACTAATTAATGTGTTGTTATTAAAATATTATTTGCTATTACATTTTTATTTTACAGAAATTTAGTATGGTTGACTTTTGAGTTGTAGTTAAATGTTGCTCATGAGTGTATCTAATTAATTTTTCCTTGGGCTATTATTGTATAGGAAATATTGCAGCCCCAAAGCAGTTTATTTGCGATGTATGTTAACTAAATTCACTGTAGATCCAATGCACATTTATGTCCAGTCTACTTGACCTTAAGTCCTTGTCTTTATCTCAAATGGACTGTCTGTAAGCTTGGTATAAGCTATCATCCACATCAATCATTCAGTTATCTCAGTGTATCTAAGAGAAAAGAATGTTTGCCCTCCACTTAACATTATTGGTTTGTGCATTCTATTAGATTAAGTTATGGGTTCCTTATCCGTATTTAACAAGGGGAACAGTAAATTCTGTACAATTTCTAACAAAAAGATAGTTTTTGGTAAGTATGTGAAGTATGTCTTACAAGTCACACAAATTTTTTTCTGAATAAAACTTAACGGATATAATGAAAGACTACTACTATATCATTGTCCAACCTAATTTATGTGTCTACCTGTTAACTGTTCAAAGGTCATGTAACATTTTATTATTTGATTTAAATGAAGTTAAGATAATTATTTTGAAATTGAACAAAATTAATTTTAGTTGTTGTAATTTCATTTTTTTAAATTTCTTGACAGGGCAGGTCATTGTAAAATAAACTATTTTATACTGGCTGAAGCATTGAACAGCCACAGCAACTGTTTAAAACAAATCTGCTATATTGACCGTGGGCCTCACTATGTCATCTGGGGTTAGAGAACGGGGAGCTTTTGCCTACAGGGAAATTGAGGACACACCTGACATCAGTTCTGCAAGAAGTCCAGACAGTTCATTGCCTGCTCATGGAATGAATAGAGTGAGTGGCTGGAATCCTTGGGGTGGAGTAGAAAACTACCGTCCAGTCACTTCCCCTGTGAATGAATGGTAAGGATAATTAACAACTTTGGTCAGAGGTTTTAATGTTATGGTAGCTTTGCTATCTAAACTAAATGCTGATTTGGTATCCAATCATATTTTATCAACTGCCTACTTTGGTGTTTGCCAGAACAATCTTTTTCATCCCTAATTTAAGAAATAACAATTATCACAGTCATTTTTACTTAATGGTTACCATTTTTTAAAAAATATTGTAATGTCTGTAATGTAATGGAATCTTTTTGTAAAAAATGTACACGCAAATCATTAGAATAGGTGTTGAACTAAGACAGGTTGAAAACACCCAGCACCTCTTGATTTTCCAATTTTTTTAGGCATTTGATTCAGAAATATTTTCATTTGACAAAGAAATATGACAATGTAATTTTTGAAATTGTGCAAATTTTTAAATTTTTCTTCATGTGTCAAGTTTACAGGATCTGTATGAACTAGCTCAGAAAAGAAGGTATTGGTACTTCTTAAATTTTTAAATAATGTCATGTTTGGCAGTGCCCTGCATGTTTCAGATATGGTCTGTAGACTTTTCAGTGTTATGTAGGCTTGTTTGTGCACTGTGAACTTGACTTTTTATGTAGAAGACTTGGCTGTGCTATGTAAATGTCACAGTGCTCTGTAGGTTTGGCTGTGCTAGGTAGGCTTTTCTGTGATATGTAGTCTCTTCTGTGCACTGTAGGCTTGCCTGTGTTATTTAGGCTTGACTGCGCTCTGTGGGCTTCCCTGTTATGCAGACTTACCTGTGCTATGTTGACATAATTGTGTTATGTAGGAATGTAGGCTTGGCTGTGTTATTTAGGCTTGACTGTGCTCTGAAGGCTTGCCTGTGTTATGTTGGCTTGAGTGTGCTAATTAATCCTTGCTGAAGCATTTTAAAATGAATTGAAAGCTTGCATATATATTTTCAGCATGTCTAGATGTGGAGTTCTAGATGGGGGAGCTAGATGGCAAGCTCTAGATGGGGAGCTTTAGATTTGGAGCTAGATGGGTGAGCCTGGGAGCTCTAGATGGGTGAGCTGGGGAGCTCTAGATGTGTGAGCTGGGGAGCTCTAGATGTGTGAGCTGGGGAGCTAGAGATGGAGTTAGATGGGTGAGCTTGGGAGCTAGATTGGAGGGCAGGGGAGCTTCTTCTTCTTCTTTATTTTGAGGGCCCACGATCAATGAATTGATCATTCTTGCTCCTAGATGGAACTTTAGATGGGTGAGCTGGGGAGCTCTAGATTTAGAGCATGATTGGGAGCACTAATTGGGGAGCTGGAATATGAACAGTACAGGTGAATTTTCCTTTTCTCCCTGCTTGAAATTGCTCACCTAATTGGATCACAACCATTTCAGTTATTTTTCCAGTTCTTCTAAGTTCTTTTTCAAATGTTATAAACACTTTTTAAAAAACGTTTATGGGTCAAATTACTAACTAACTGTTGAATACGTTTTCTGGCCAACAAATAAATTCTCAGTTTGGTATACACCATAATATAGTCTTATAATTCATGCTTTAAATGGATACTCAAAAATGTGTACACAATATTGGAGTGATCAGCTGAAACATCTAACAGCAAAGCAGGCCTGGGGCACATAAGTAGACAATCAGACCTGTCAGTGTTTTAACATCAAATGGAAACGCTTGTTCAAAACAAAAATATCTAATACTAAATTCAAAGTTTTGTTTTATATTTACATTTATATAACATTATAGATTTATAACATTACAAATATATATAAAATTACATATATATAAAATTATATATATATCTGAAACAATTTTATGAAAATATTTTTTAAATTATAGAATATGTGCTATAGTTTTCTGATTATAAAAAGATGGATTTTTATTTTATACACGTTTCTTTTAATATTCCGTGCATTTCTGTGCCTTGTCAATCTAAAATACACAACAAAAAAACTTGCTTGTCTCTTGCACTATGCATGTGGATTATGACTGTGGTGGTACATTATCTTATTCAACTTGCTTTGTCTCTTGCACTATGTATGTGGATTATGACTGTGGTGGTACATTATCTTATTTAACTTGCTATGTCTCTTGCACTATGTATGTGGATTATGACTGTGGTGGTACATTATCTTATTCAACTTGCTATGTCTCTTGCACTATGTATGTGGATTATGACTGTGGTGGTACATTATCTTATTCAACTTGCTATGTCTCTTGCACTATGTATGTGGATTATGACTGTGGTGGTACATTATCTTATTCAACTTGCTATGTCTCTTGCACTATGTATGTGGATTATGACTGTGGTGGTACATTATCTTATTTAACTTGCTTTGTCTCTTGCACTATGTATGTGGATTATGACTGTGGTGGTACATTATCTTATTCAACTTGCTATGTCTCTTGCACTATGTATGTGGATTATGACTGTGGTGGTACATTATCTTATTCAACTTGCTTTGTCTCTTGCACTATGTATGTGGATTATGACTGTGGTGGTACATTATCTTATTCAACTTGCTTTGTCTCTTGCACTATGTATGTGGATTATGACTGTGGTGGTACATTATCTTATTCAACTTGCTATGTCTCTTGCACTATGTATGTGGCTTGTTACCTGTGGTCGTACCCCTATAAACCCCGCATGTTATAGCCGGCCTCTATCGTATACTTTCATGCTCTGTCCAATGAAGATGAATATTTCAGGTTTGGCAGAAATATAATTTTTTTTTTTTTAAGTTCACAAGAATAATAAATCAAACTGTCCCATTTGTTTTATAATTTGCTGCTCTCTTACAGTGATAAATTAAAGCTATTAGTCATAATTTTGCATTGTGTCTTCTACTAGCCATAATTTTGCTTTGTGTCATCTACTTGTCATAATTTTGCTTTGTGTCATCTACTAGTCATAATTTTGCTTTGTGTCATCTACTAGTCATAATTTTGCTTTGTGTCAAGTTAAGCTCCAAAAGTCCTTATTATTATTTTTTTCCTTTAAAATGAAAGAAATACATTTTCTTGTGTGAATCAATCATAGAAAAATTGGGAGTAAAATAATTATTATTGAAAACTTTTATCACATTATTTTATTTAAGTTTCTTCATTTGAAACTTTTTAATATTAATACGGCACAGCTGATCAATATTAATGTCCCGATTGCATAAATTAACAGTGACCTTTTACAATTTCTCACAGGATGCACATCCAGAATCCAGACCGCCTCTTCTCATCCGAGAACCCTCAGCCGGCACCCACAGATGATGAATTTAATCGGTCTCATATTAACATGCCGCCAAAACTGCCCAGATGGATTTGGGCCACGTTGGTCACTGTGCTGGGAATCAAGACAACTTCTGTGTAAGTTGGCTAACAAAAAAATTATTTTATTTTGTCTCAAGTGATTGAAACGACTTACTTAAGTTTTAACATAATAAATAGTTGGTGTCAAGGGAAAATATTAGTGCAAAGTGTCAAAATCCTGTTTATACTAGAATGGTTAATTCATCAAGTTCATTTACAGGTTTTAATGCGTCATATTAGTACTGAATCAACTCAAGTCCTTTTTCATGATAAATGCAACTTTATTATATAATGTAAATTCACAGACTGTTAATTCCATATACACATGTATAGCGCAGCTCGATGTTAGAGTGAAATCAAACACAACCTCCTTTTCACAAAATTCCTTTCACGACTGCCTCATGACTAAAATGCACCTCACAAAACAGACTAGACAATAAGTCATAATAAGCATAAAAATACGTTACAAAGTCAAGCACGGGAAGAGTGTTCCCTAACTAATTAATCTCTCAAACACTCATTGCACGTAACCAAACATAATATCTAGTCGCAACAATTATTTATGAACTCCCATTACTCGACACAAAGTCTTCGGTTAACATCAATATCAGGGAATTATATTGTTTAAGTTAGTGTTTAAATGTGAATTATATTGTTTAAGTTAGTGTTTAAATGTGAATTATATTGTTTAAGTTAGTGTTTAAATGTGAATTATATTGTTTAAGTTAGTGTTTAAATGTGAATTATATTGTTTAAGTTAGTGTTTAAATGTGAATTATATTGTTTAAGTTAGTGTTTAAATGTGAATTATATTGTTTAAGTTAGTGTTTAAATGTGAATTATATTGTTTAAGTTAGTGTTTAAATGTGAATTATATTGTTTAAGTTAGTGTTTAAATGTGAATTCTATTGTTTAAGTTAGTGTTTAAATGTGAATTATATTGTTTAAGTTAGTGTTTAAATGTGAATTATATTGTTTAAGTTAGTGTTTAAATGTGAATTCTATTGTTTAAGTTAGTGTTTAAATGTGAATTATATTGTTTAAGTTAGTGTTTAAATGTGAATTATATTGTTTAAGTTAGTGTTTAAATGTGAATTCTATTGTTTAAGTTAGTGTTTAAATGTGAATTTGTGAAACATCCTGATCCAGTAACCATTTGGGCATGTGCCTTTTAACCAGATAATTTTAAGATATTAGATTATTATTTTAATAAATTATTTACCATCACAAATATTGCAAATTTTCATTTATTACCCCCCCCCCCCCCCTTTTTTTTCCCCCAAAACAGAAATCGTCTGTGCATGGCAACCTTTCTTCACATTGTAACTTTGCTGTCCGCATTCTTGTTTGGCGCCTGTGGCTTAGTGTTCAACATTTATGACAGCCTCAGTGAATTTTCCAAAACGACAGTTCTAGTGAGCATTGCCAAATCGGTCCTGGGCTTGTACTGGATTGGTTTAGGGATCTACGCCAACTCTCTGGCAGCTCGACTCTTCAGCAACAAAAGGCTGGTTGACTGTATTAGACTTCATGCTAAAACTTTTCTCAAGGTGAGCATTTAAAAATGAGGGTTTAGTGTTTAGACCTAAGGCTGGAGAGTTGGATAAATCAGTTTGGATTAAGGCCTCTCAGATTTGATATAGAAATTCTGTTAACTACTGTCTCAATGTGATAACTAAAGTCCAATGTCACAATGTGATAACTACTCTCCAATGTTTGAATGACATAACTACTGTCCAATGTCCCAATGTGATAACTACTGTCCAACATTCCAATGTGATAACTACTATCCAACGTTCCAATGTGATAACTACTGTCCAACGTTCCAATGTGATAACTACTTTCCAATGTTTGAATGAGATAACTACTGTCCAACGTTCCAATAAGTACCATCCAGTGTCCCAACCACTGTATATAACTGACTACAGATCAGCACCGTGTTCATTGTTGTAATCCTGACCATTGTTGTGGTGACCACAAACCTGTACACAACCTTGTATCTGTTGGAGGACCATCACATTGGGAACAAGACCAAGCTCATGGACAGCAACTGTGCCAGCATCGGTACCAATGTAAGTCTTTTCATACTGTTAATGCTATTTAAATCTGAATGACCAATGACATTAAAAAACTCAACTGACCAGTTGCCTTGTTGACCCTATGAGGTGAAATCAATTAAATATTCATACTATTTAAATCCTAAGATTGTGACATTAACATATTTGCCAGACTGTTCTATTAATTTGTCTGCTTGATTATTCCATTAATCTGTCTGCCTGACTGTTCCATTAATCTGTCTGCCTGACTGTTCCATTAATCTGTCTGCTTGATTGTTACATTAATGTCTGTTTGACTGTTCCAATAATGTTTGGCTGACTTTTCCTTTTCTGCTTGACTGCTCTATTAATATTTCTGCCTCATTGTTCCATTAATATGGGTCTGCCTGACTGTTCCATTATTATGGGTCTGTCTAATTGTTCCATTAATATGGGTCGTCTGATTGTTCCATTAATATAGGTCAGTCTGATTGTTTCGTTATTATGGGTCTGCCTGATAGTTTCATTAATATGGGTCTGCCTGAATGTTCCATTTATATGGGTAAGTCTGATTGTTCCATTAATTTGGGTTTGACTGATTGTTCCATCAATATGGGCACGTCTGATTGTTTCAGTACAACATACACTTACAAAATCTTGTGTTATTTTCCCCAGCTTCTCCTCTGTCAGGTTTACTATGGGTCAAAGGTCTTCTACTCATTCTTCTGTTTGACCTGGAATCTTTTGGTGGCTTGCATCTACCTCTCTGTCTGCCGGACACACACTATAAGTAGGTCATTATTTGGTCTTTAATCACCTCTCTGTCTGCCGGACACACACTACAAGTAGCTCATTATTTGGTGGTTATTACCTTACCTCTCTGTCTGTAGGCAACTCGATTTCATCTGTGCATGTTTTTTCGGCTTTCGTAATAGTTTAAAGGTTTTTACAACATATTCTTTGGAATCAAGGTGTGTTGAATGTGTTTTATCTGCTTTGACTGATAATCTTGTGTTTTTTACCGCGATGAACAGCGATTACATGGATTTTTCGGACATCGTTGCAATAAACCAAGACAAATCCATAGCTGCCATATTGGAAACAATTGAGACGGCATCTTGTAAACAAATGGCAAGATCAAAACAACTATTTAAAGACAAATTGACTACAGACAAAAGGCGTGCCCCTGATCTTGGGTAAGAAAACCTCCGTTCAAACAAAAATCCAAGACTGTTCTCACTCAAGAACTCAAGAGTTATTCATACCGCACACTTACAAGGAGAATGTCTTGCTATGGGAACAACGGAAAACACAAACATTACAAGGGCTGAAGGAAATATGTACGATGAATGTAAAAAACAAATTTCCATTTATTTGGATCAATAAAAATATCTTAAGTAGGTCATTACCTGGTCATTATCACCCGATCTCACGGTCTACAAAACACACACGATAAGTAGGTAATTATTTGGTCTTTATCACCTCACCTCTCTGTCTGCAGGACACACACTATAAGTAGGTCTTTACTTGGTCTTTATTATTCCTCTTTATTTTGGTCACATTCTGTAAGTAGGTCCGTATTTTGTCATTAGTACCTCATCTCTGTCTGTCAATATGGTGTTTGAGCTATGAAGACATAAATTATGGGCCTCACATATACAATAGTTTTTATGACAATTCATTGATCTCCCTGCAGGCATCCGCCGTTTTATGAAGGAACTCATGTATGATACAAACATCTTTGAGGAGTTCTGTATGATACAAGCCCTGGAGGAGCATCAGACACAGGGTAACCAGAGTCTTAAAGACGAGAAGAAACTGAAGGATGATAATGGTGAGTGTCTTTCAGGGGTGTGGGGTGTGGTGGGGGCAGAGGAAGCAGAGTTTTATTACAGAAAAGAAACTTAAGCATGATCTTAAGAATCTTACTGGGGTGTAGTGGATTAGTTGGGATGCAGTGGGATATAGCAGGTGTAGTGGGGGTGGGTGGGTGGGATGTTTTGGGTGTAAGGTTAGGGGGTTATTCTGATAAACTCTCCCATCCATCTCATTGTGCCCATGCTCTACTTTTCTTGTTCATTCTTTTCAAAGATATGTCACATAATTAAAAGAGTGCCACATATGTAGTGTTTTTTGTATTGCTACCTTTGTATTGTTTTTGTGGTATTGGTACATTTGTAGTGTTTTTTGTATTGCCACATTTGTAGTGTTTTGTGATATTGATACATTTGTAGTATTTTTGTATAGCTATATTTGTAGTGTTTTTGTGGTATTGGTACATTTATAGTGTTTTTGTATTGCTACATTTGTAGCATTTTTGTGGTATTGGTACATTTGTAGTGTTTTTGTATTGCTACATTTGTAGCATTTTTTTGGTATTGGTACATTTATAGTGTTTTTGTATTGCTACATTTGATATGTTTTTGTGGTATTGCTACATTTGTAATGTAATGTGCAGATCCCAGATTTTAATACACTACTACTTTTTCAGAGTATGACATCTGGCATGATGATATTGTCAATTTTGACAGTGACAGTCATTCGGACCCACCCCAGAATGCTCATCTTTTGAGAACTTTAAGGGTCATGAGACAGAACACAAGGTCACAACTGCTCAATGACATTAGTAAGTTGAAGTTGCAGCAGTGCTGTTTTTTTAATAAATTCTGTTCATGAAATCCTCCAATTTGACTCATTTATAATTGAATCAAGACCAAATGTTTGTTTTGAAGCTAAGTAAAACTGTACATTGTGAATGATGAATTAATGTGTGTATATATATATATACATATATAAATAAATATTTATTTATTATATATATAACTGTTGAATTACAAACTCTATTAATTTTCCTTTCTCACCGCTACCCCCACAACAGGCAGCCAACAACAAGAAAGTCTCTATGTCTCGTGTAATATACCCAGAAGGGAGAGAAATCTATCCAGTAGAGCCTGGACCCTAGGAGAGGTAACTATTGGGGGGGGGGGGCCTGGGTTCCACAAATAATACAAAACTTATTAGTGGGATTCTTTGTTATATTCTGTTCTCCACTACGTTAAAAGGTATTCCTATGGCTATTTTAATTGTTTGTGGGTTGAACTATCAATGTACCAGAATCACATAGCATCTACATCTCAAGTTGTGCTAAGACGCAGACCAGTTGTGCTAACACGCAGACCAGTTGTGCTAACACGCAGACAGGTTGTGGTAACATGCAAACAGGTTGTGCTAAAACACAGTCAGGTTTTGCTAACATGCATACAGATTGTGCTAACACACAGAAAGGTTGTGCTAACACACAGACAGGTTGTGGTAACATGCAAACAGGTTGTGCTAAAACACAGTCAGGTTTTGCTAACATGCATACAGATTGTGCTAACACACAGAAAGGTTGTGCTAACACACAGACAGGTTGTGCTAAAACACAGACAGGTGGTGCTAACACACAGACAGGTTGTGCTGTTCATTATGAGGTCTGTCACTGTTATCATCCCCTTTATGTCTGCTCAAAGACATATTAAAGGACAAGTGACATTCACTTTAAAGCCACCACTCAACTAACAGGACAAGTGACATTCACTTTAATTAAGCCAACCCTAACGACTTAGTGAACTATTTCCCTCGAGCCAAAGTGTTCATTACAAAACAAGTTGGTTTAGGCCTCCAGCCTCATGGAGTTAGAGTTTTAAATGAAATTAGTGATGTGCCTGGTGAGAAATAATTTGTTTAACAAAGGAAAGAATCTCTTTATAATCTCCTTCTCGATAATCATGTGCTGATTTGCTCTTGAAATTTACTCTGTGTAAATGTGGACTTCACATACCAGTATTCGTCTAACAAAATTATGTCCCTTTTTTTAGAAATAGTTACTAAGCTACAGAGAGTTTAGTGACTTTTCATTAATGAGTTGTTATTGAAGTCTTAAAACAATTGTGAATGTATCACTTAGTCCATCAGAAAGCACTTGAATAGTTTTAATATTATTCCATATTAATGAAAATTCCATTGTCAATTATTCCCCACCACCCTTCTCCAGTTTTCTCCATCTGAACATGAAGAGGGACAGATGAGCCCAGGAAAACAAGATAAAACTCTTATTTCTCGTGCAATGCAAGATGATTTCCCAGAGCCTGACAGCGTCTTCGAAGACAACTTACCTCATGCGTCCACCCCGGCACCAGGTTCATCAGACGCTGTCCCGCCTGCGCCCATCGTGCCACCCCAAATCTCAAAAACCAGCTTCAATGGGGTTCGACCTCCCATCATGAAAAATGAAGATCTGATGTTCACTTATTTCCAGCTGTTGGTAAGTAATCTAGGATAAAGGTCAGTAGCTGTTTGGTGAGTGATCTAGGTCAGCGTTCCCCAAATGGTCCACACAACAAGAATATTTATGGTTAATAAAAAGAAAATATAATTAATAAATCTGCCACCTGTAGCTGGAGCAGTTTAATACCTTGTCCACCGGTCTGCCAGACTTAAAAGTTTGAGAAATGCTGATCTAGGTATATTATTTACAGACAAATTAACTGACATTCTAGAAATGCCCAACTGATGTACAAGTATTGCCCAACTGATGTCAAAGCATTGCCCAACTGATGTCCAAGCATTGTCCAACTGACGTCTAAGCATTGCCCAACTGATGTCCATGCATTGCCAAACTGACATTCAAGCATTGCCCAACTGATGTTCAAGCAATGCCCAACTGATGTACAAGCATTGCCCAGCTGACATTCAAGCATTGCCCAACTGATGTCCAAGCATTGCCCAACTGATGTACAAGGATTGCCCAACTGATGTCCAAACATTGCCCAACTGACATTCAAGCAATGCCCAACGGATGTCCAGGCATTGTCCAACTGATGTTCAAGCATTTCCCAACTGATGTCCAAGCATTGCCCAACTGACATTCAAGCATTTCCCAACTGATGTCCAAGCATTGTCCAACTGATGTCCAAGCATTGCCCAACTGATGTCCAAGCATTGTCCAACTGATGTTCAAGCATTATCCAACTGATGTCCAAGCATTTCCCAAATGATGTCCAAGCATTGCCCAATGACGTTCAAGCATTGTCCAACTGATGTCCAAGCATTGCCCAACTGATCTTCAAGCATTTCCCTACTGATGTCCAAGCATTGTCCAACTGATGTCCAAGCATTGCCCAACTGATATCCAAGCATTGCCCAACTGATGTCCAATTGTCCAACTGATGTTCAAGCATTGTCCAACTGCTGTGGTGTATTTTTGTTTAACAGAATATTGCTAAAATTCTTCTCTTACTTATCAACAAATTCACTGGAAAATGTTTTAAGTTTCAAAGAGATGGATGCAGTTCAGTATTTTACTCTGTGGAATGACCCTCAAGGTTTCCTTCATTTTGTTTGTTGGTCATTGGTGGCACTGATGTTTCAAATTTTTATATTTTTCATGACATCATTGGACCATGACATTGTTTTATCGTGACATCACTACGGAAATTCCATCGTCTCCAAGAGACGAAAGTCGTTTTTAAATACAAAATTTCTTATTTCAGCGCCGTCTATGCTCTACATCCCGTCTGCTTCAGCGGTGGATTTCCAGCTGGATCACCTTCACCTTGCTGTGGTGTGGCCTGCTCATTGTCTACTGGACAACACACACTGCTCAGCTGTCTGGGATTGTCCAGTTCCTCATTCCATTAGTGGCGCTTGGCCTCTTGACGTCTGCTTATGCTGAAGTGAACTTTGAAGGAGAGAGACTTTTAAAGGTGTGAAGTGAGAGAGGAAATATCCAAGAGATTTATCAAACTAGATTGATATCAATGTATCTAGATTTTTATTTGGTCAGTTATTTTATTCATTGATTTTTTTCCCTAGGATGCTCTTCTTTATTTTTGTTGTGGGTCAGTGAAGGGTAGACAGATGATAGAATACATTGGTGAAAGTTACACCTGCAACAAGTTGGCTGATGTTTTCCAACTTCGGTGGTTGAGGTTGTTTTACTCAAAGTTGAACTCCTCCCCAAGAATGGCTGCTTTTGGGTCTGACAGGATCAATAAGAAATTGTCTCATTAAAGCAGCATAGTTCAAATGAAATGAACATTTAAGATGTATCAATTTACTGCCTTAGCATTAGCATACATGTCTACCTATAGTTTTACTAGTTTTTTTAAAATTTATTTTTTAACAAAAATACTTAGAAGTTTTTTGGCTTATCTGTCACATAATTAACCAAATCAAGGCCCACAACTCAAGGAGGCTAGTACAAAAGTGAAATATTATACTAAGCCTGAACTTAATTTACAAGTGTAAGTTCTTGCCTACTACACGAATATCAAGTACTCTTGACTCTGAATGATCCTGTTAAGCTTAAAATACAGATATCTTCTGCTTTCTACTTATATTTATTATAAATAACTATTTATTAAATCAGATCTTTGCCTTTAAATATCATTAATATTGAACATTTCTAAATGGCAGAGTGTCCTGCCTACAGAGGAGCGAATGTCTGTCCTCTACTACTTTCAGAGCACTAAGCTGGAACTCAAGGTAATGTTACAAATTACAGGACTCATATTTCCTCTGCTTTTGTACAAACCCCTAAACAAGACGATTTGAAGACATTTTTAAAAGTATTGAAGTTAAATTTGTTTTACAAGAAAATTTATTAAAAAATTCAAGAAATAATTTTAAAAAAGCTTTCATAGAAAATTCAAAAGACAAAAAATGTTTTTTAAATGATAAAATGTCACTGAGCATAGCCCTATGATATTTCTTTCTTCAGATTTTCAGTTTCACTATGACCTACAATACAATCGTCACCGTTGTTGCTGGTATTGCTGTCACATTCGCCACACGGATTATTCTGGATCAGTTCTCAAAATAAACCCTTTGGATGTTTGCGAATGGGAGATCAGTATCAATTTATTTTGATCACTGGCAAAAATTGTTCAAATTTTTCAATGCTATCTGCTTTAAATTGTTCTCAGTAATTTTTTTGGATTTGACACAACAGCAAAAAAACCAACTATTCATTGCACAACCCCTTTAAACTCAAAATGTAATATGAAGGGGAGATAACCTAAAGAAGGGACGAGAAACCTAAAGAGAATTCATAATGAAACCCTCTTCTTGTACCAAATAATAAAAATGTTTTGATATTTATAACTCTTTTTTTTTTTTTTTTTTTGCTTTATAAGAAGGGACGAGAAACCTAAAGAGAATTCATAATGAAACCCTCTTCTTGTACCAAATAATAAAAATGTTTTGATATTTATAACTCTTTTTTTTTTTTTTTGTTGCTTTAGGTGCATTCTCATACCATACCAGTATTGCGTATCCCTTTTAAACGTATTTTTGTTAGTCAAGTAAAACTAACTGCCAGATATTAAAATAATAAAATAAGTGCTACTTTTTAGAAAGATTTGTTTAATCACATCCACAGCCCTGTAAATATTGCTTTAACTCTTTCTATTGTCAATGTAAGGAACCTATTTAAGATTTAACAGATATCAACACATCATCCAAACAAAAAAATTAAAGATGTGAAAATTCTGGCATTAGTAAATTGGACATTGGATCTATTTAAACAAAAAAAATTTTTTTGCTAAAGAATTGGTGAAAGCATGTTATTATTTTCAAGCCTAAGTTGTCTACAGCATTAAGAGGAAAATCAATGAAGATAGAAATTATTTAGCTTTTACACCTTTTGCCAAAATTACATTCTTTAACTAACTTTTTTATGTGACCTATGATTTGTGTACTGTATTTTTTTGGTACTAATTTGTCAAACGTTGTAACAATGTTACCTCAGTACTCAACAACATAACATTTTTTGTATTTTTTACGTTTTTGCTCTTGTGTGTGCACGTAAATTTCTACCTCAGGAGGCTGTAAAAATCTAATAGATTATGAAACAAAGTTTCAAAATGTGAATCAATTCATGTTGTGACCATTGTCAAAGTTAAAGGCCATCTTTGTGCCCACACTATTTCATCCTCTCTTTACAAAACTTTTTGGACCAGCCAGACGAATTATTTCTTCCATCAGAACCTTTCCATGTTAGCTGTGTCAGTAATCTTGTTTTCAATTTGTTCAACATTCCTTGACAAAACACATGTCACTGTTATTAGTTGTCCTTATCACAGTGACAATTTGTCTCAAATGAGTTTTCAGCTTATACAAAAATATTAAGCTCAGCATTCCTTTTGGACAGTTATCTGATCCAATAATTTTGTAAACATCATTCAAAACTAGAAATGATTTGCACATTTCAGAGCCTGACACTGATGTTCATTTTATTTGCTTTTCTTGTATACTTTATATCTTTTCAAGTGTATTATAATAATGTTCCGAATGTGTTCATACCTTAAAAATATTATTTACAACAATGTTATTTGTGTTTATATTTTCCTTCTATTATACACACAAATTTTGTCTGGCTTAAGCATAATTATAATCCCAGGCCCAATTTTACCAAAACAAATTGATGTCAATGACAAGCCCTATCCTTTGATTTCAAACTCATTGCAAATTAATTTTTTTTAAGAACAAATCTGAACAATCTGTAGGTGAGACTAGTGAAATGCTGCAAAATATCCATAATGTCACTGGCTTTCGGTGGAATAATCCAGAAAAATTTAGGAAGTCATCTGCAACTAATATTTATTGAATACTTTGTACTTTTTTATTTTTTACTCATTTGTACTAAAGAAATATCATATTATGTAACATATTAGTTGGTGCTTGTGATGTCTACTAAACAGTATGGCCACTTATACAGATTTTAAAATATTAAGAGTAAACTGTATCCGTAAATTTGTTTGAAAGAAATAGACGAAAAATTTATCAAAGGAAGTTTGGTCGAACGGAAATTTGATCGAATTTTTTTTTTCAGTTCACATGTTGTTAAAACCTGTATAAGTGGCCATACAATTTAGTAGACATCACAAGCACCAACTAATATGTCACATAATATGTTTGAAGGGGAGAGTTCTTGTTCCATAGAATTATGGTATAAAGCTCTTCAGTCCTTTTTTGTTAATACATGGCTAATAATTCATATCTAATACTAATATAACTGTTTAAATCAAAACAAATATTTAGATAAATTAAAACTTTATAAGTCAGTGCTTTCCATTCTCTTACCAAAAAAAAATTCAATAGATATATTTATAACTAAGTCTTAATAGTAATAATAGGGAATATAAAACATGTTTGAAGAAATAAAAATCATTCGACAATCTAATGTTTTTAAGGTGGCTTTACAAATATACAAATTTTCTTTATTAATTTTGTGTGGACAGGTGTAAGGCTCACAGACCGCTTCATGTCAACGATCTCCACTTTGGGAAACCCCGTCACTGGTATAAATAAAGTATCTGTTTTTAGAAAGGACCAATTTCGTTTTGTAAGACTCCATAATTTTTTTGGCCTAAAAACATAAAGAATTATTTATAAACTTGGTTTTACAGAATAAAAATGTTTCCATTAGGCTGTTTGATGTACCGTGCAATATTTGAATTATGTAAAATTTACACTCAACATGTACCAATACTTATTATTGTACACTGAATAGTATATGTATTATTACCCAAATATTGCATGCCTTGTAATTAAAAATGATTATTAATTATTTGTACAGTAGCATGATAACATACTCTATATTTAAAATTATGTACAGTAAATCAGCCATGTACAATCCTATAGGTCTACCCAATACTAATGAATTTTAAACTGAATGGAAATTGTGAGGACCATGATAAGCCGTTTGTTGTTAATTCAAAATACACAACTTGTAATTTAACTGAGTTTATATTTTCTATAGACAATATTTTACATACATTACATTAAAAGGACTCATCCTCTGAAATACTCCACTCAATATGGTTAATCTATGGCTCAGCTGATTACTAGTGATTGTATTTCCTTTGCATTCTTTGTTATTTCAACTGAAACATAAAGCCAAACATTTTGTGTGGCATTATTTTTAAGCATATGCTGGTTAAAGTCATTACTGAAATAAATTTGTATTAATGCCCAAGTCTATGTAATATATATACTTTTATATATTTACACACTTATAAGTCTACATTTATCTTCGGACATTCATGGAAAAAATGTATTTTTTAAATATTATTTTTATATTTATTAACTCATGGAACATTCCTCAAACATTTTATGTAAAAGAAAAAAAAGTACTTTGTTGATTAAATATAACTTAACTGCTTTTTTTTAAATTGACTTTTTATATTTTTGTAATAGTCAATTTATATTTAATGACACCTAAGAAAAGAACATTTCTTATGAGGAACTTTCCCTTATGGGCAACTGTGCCTTAATGAATAAAAAAAGTCTTAAAATCAAAACTGAAAGAAATGCTTCTTTATATCCACAAAATGTGTGAGACTTGTTTTTCAGTTTCAGAAGTGTACATGTATTCAATCCAGGGTTCAATATTAATTTTTGGTATGTAGTTGTTGAAAGATAAGTTGTGTGGTAAGGCTGCAAAGTTAACTTTTTATCTCATGTGTTATAGCAAAAATGCTGTGTCAGATCTGGTTCTTTTTTAAATACTGCATACTGTTTCTTAGCAAAAATTAAAACCATTAAAATAATAAGCAACTGGCAAATGACCTATTAAATTGAGAATGACAAATACAAATATTAATAAAATGTTTTATTTTCCATTTAAATAATGAACTCCAATTCAAACAGGATAAGATTTATGCCAGGGATTCAGTCATAATTCAAACAGGACCCACAGCAGCGGTGAGCAGCCTTAAGGTTGTGACCCTTTGGGTTGAAACCATTGTTTTATTTACATGGTAAAATAATTTAATAATTTTCAGTGCCGTTGCACCCAAAACAAGTTGTGAACCACCGACTTAAAGAACCGGTCAGATGTTAAATCAAGTCTGAGAAATAACCGGTCAACATTCATTAGTCTGACAAGGTTCCCTGTACTTATATACATAGCAATTCAGCTCGACTGTGACAAGAGATAAATTACCATCACAACTCACTCTGATATGGAACACAAGATAAAGATCTAACAATTTGATCCCAGATTACTCTTGATCCATGTTATATATTCTATGTTTCAGACATGGCCTTAATATAAATATGACATCTTGAGAGTGCATGGACATCAACAGATTTCATTGTGTCCACATCAAAACTTCCCAATTACCCAAAATCAGATAAAAGTGATTTTTTCTTTGGGTATGGACATAAATATTTTGGGAAGCATTGGTCTATACCATCATTGCTGGACTGTCTGTATAGAATCATAAAGTTACTATACTATCCCTTGCTACTGTGTGCAGCCAGTGACTCCACCTGTCATTAAAGTCATGCTGTAGAGTCCAAATGCTGGGAGAAAAGATAATCAATACTGAACTGATCCAAAACTTGAGACTCAAGGATTCTGAAGTATTTTGTAACTTCGGAGGAGACACCACCGACTCTCTTATGTTCATTAGGAAACAAATGATAATCTGTCCCAATAGGGTCGATGATGAAGCTAATGTCATTGACACAGTCACTATATTGTCCAGGCATTAGTTGATGGTGCAGCCAATGTCATTGACACGGTCACTATTATTGTCCAGGCATTACTATACTATAAACTCACTTAATCCAGGAATCCAAATGGTAGATATATACACACACACACAATCCATCTAGGATACAGTGCAATCTTTAGTCAAGCACATTACACACCACACATCCTCATATGAGGCTAATAATAAAATATAAGATAATAAATAAGTTATTATACTTCAAAACAAGAAGAAGTAGAAACAAATCCACTGGGAAGAATAAGCAAAATGAATTTAAAAACAAAACTCCACCAGGTTTGAAAATAACCAAAGTTACAATAAAACAACATATTTGCCCTGAACTGCACGACAATGGTCGGCAATCTTATCCAGTTAGAGTTAGAACTGTGTAAATTTTGTAAAGCAATCTGATTCTTAACGTCAATTGTAATCAAGTCTTATCTCACTAATGGTTAGTTCATTTCAAATTGGACATTCCCGTCTTTGTAATCTATACATCTGATTATGATTTAGAATATTTCAAGCATTTAAAAAAGAAGGAAAACATCCCCTCACAAACGTATGAGACAAAAAAAAATTATAGGATTAAACAATAAGCTAGTGTTCACAGTTTCTGCTACATTAGAAAATTAATTCTTTTTAAAATAAAAAGTTCAACTCTGGAATAAGAAAACTATTTTTTAAATGGAGGATGTTGGTTTCTGGTTTGAAACAAATCAGTTTATGTCTCATGGGAAAATCATAGTCTTGCAATTTTTACTGTTAAAAGGTACTCCAAAAAATAAAGTTCTTAAATGGTTTTTCTACAAAGAGTACAAATATAAATATATATATATATATATATATATATTTATACTCTACATCTCCTTCACACCTTCATAATATACAAAAGAAAAAAAACATTGGAATTCAGCCATTATAGATTATAGTATAGATAAATAATAATAATTTTAACAACACAATAAAATCATTAAAATGAAAACAACCTAAACAAGTAAAGCGGTCTGTGCATAAAGTCATCAAATATTATGTATTTGAATAAAATAAAACAACTTGCCCCGTCAGTAAAATATTTCTACAGATGAAAATACTCATTTGGTTTAACACTGGATTGTTAACCTATTGCAGGTGACCATTAGAGAACAATTTCTGAGTATGTCATGCAATTATTGATGGCAGTTGTTATCGTGACATCATAGTTGATTTAGAAATGGCCCTTTGATTAACTACCATGAGCTTTTCTAAAAACACCAGTGTCAAGTCAAAAACAAACAAAAATCAAAACGGCCCAAAGCAACATGTTTGGATCCAGCATCAACAATGGCTCTCAAGATTATTTTTGGAGAATTATGTCAAACAAAAAAATAATAATATTCCCATTATTTAATTTGATAAAAGAATAAGGCTCTCCTTACACTTCTGACAATGTCAACAACATATTTACACCAGGGGCTCCACACAAGCCGCTGTGTAACTTTTCACCCGAGAAAAAATAAGGGGAGGGAAGGCATGCTTGTTCAACTCAAATTTGCTTATGACCTCTTCGCCTGTTGACCTGCAGAAAACACAAAGTAATGCATAAGAAAAGGCCATTTAATTGTTAAATACACAGAGGAAAATATTCAGTTGTTAAATTAAATGATAGTTAGAGGCACAAATGTCCTTTCCCAGATGGGCAACCAAGGGAAACAGATCAGAACTGAGATGGACACCCAAGAGAAACAGATCAGAACTGAGATGGACACTCAAGGGAAACAGATCAGAACTCAGGTGGACACTGAAGGAAAACTAATTGAACAGAAGACCACTAATAATAATAATAAGACCCAGCATCAACAGGCATAAAATAGTAACATGAGTGAAAAGCTGAAGTAACCATGAAAACTGGAATAAATAAAACCAAAAAAATAATGTTTGATTTATGTGGAATGAGACAAATCTTCCCCGCTATTGTGTGCCTGGTCCTACATGATGACAGGAACAAAAATAATTATTGACATTCTTCGATGAGATGTGCAAAAATTCATGTGGTGAGGGGGGGGGGGGGGGTTAAGTTAAAAAAAAAAAAACTTTAGGGGAAAAAACTTTTAGGAACAAAAATAATTATTGACATTCTTCGATGAGATGTGCAAAAATTCATGTGGTGAGGGGGGTGGGGGTTAAGTTAAAAAAAAAATCACTTTAGGTGATAAAACTTTGTCAGGATATGGAGTATTCTGGTTACACTATAGATACCTTTGAGGAAACCAACAATAAGATTATTTTTTATATGTTACCTACAACAAAAGTTGCGATATGTGTATCCTGGAAGTATCACTAACACGTGCGATTTAAAGCTCTTTACCTTTGAACTGAGCAGACGGCATAACTGCACCAAAGGAGCTGGGCATGGGGTCTTTTGCCGCTCGACGTAACATCAAAGTCCTGGGCGACAAAATAAAATGTTTTAAGAAGGAAGTCAAGAGGTTGCTATACCTTCAACACTGCAATGTTACTGAAATATCCCCTAACTAAATAATAGAAATAAAAAGCTGCGGTGTCTGTGTATGCATCCAGATATTTTACTGAATCGATTAATATTGGCTAAAATTTCAAGTCTTACAAATTAATTTCTTAATAAAATAAAAGTTAATTTGTATTGTTTTCTTTTTAGGTCTCTCCACTTTTATGGGATACAAGCTTTTTTTAAAAATCATTAAAAAAGAAATTGAACAAAAACCTATTAAAAATGTACAAATATCCATGTTTTGTATTAATCAGGTGAACAATTGAAACGTTAACTTTGCTGGACTGATGATTTTATTGTTGGGTTGGAACTTTAACTTTTGAAATAGAGCGCTTTAACATTCAGCACAACAGAAATAAAACTTATCAGCAGTGAAATAAGATTTCTTTTTTAAAAACAAACTATAAACATACAGTATTGACAGGAATTTAATAACAAGTGGGTGATCTTAAAATTCAGGTTTATCGTAAAGAAAAGTTAATATAGTACTGACTGCAGTGTAGGTCGTATCCATTTCATTTTGATTAGCTGCTGCTTGGCGATGACGTTTGTATCTGGTGGGGAGGACCTCAGTTTTTACACGTTTTAACACACAAGCCACCTAAAATTTAGGGAAATTTTAACCAATTAAAAAAACTTTTGCAAAAAAAACAATTGAAAAAAAAAAAAGTTTTGAAAGTTTCTCGTGACAAACAACAAGATAAAATATGGAAATGAAATAAAGCTCTTTCTAATGGATTTTTCCAGTGCATAAAAAAAAGAGCCCATCTTTTCCTAATGAAACAAACCTTGTGGTCAGTGAGTTTGTAGACTCCCTTGAGGAGGCCTGGGGATTTTGAGTTGCGGAACTTGAGTTTAGGCAATGATTGTAGGGGATCATCGGGACTCACAAGCATATGCATTTGTCCTGAAACAAATAGTCCATTTCATATGTAAAAGGAAACTCTTCAAAACTAGGAGTACTTTCGTGCTTTAAAAGTTTCCTAATATAATCATCAAAAGATGATCTTCATATGATTATTATTGAGATCAACAATGTGCATCTAGTGCCTACCATCTGGAAAAAATCTAACGTAGCGGAAGTATTCCACCAGATGAAAAGGGCGATAGAAGCTGTCCAGGCTCTGTTCACCTTGTCTGATATAGGTCACCTTGCTGATGTAGCAACCTAACGGCAGAGATCACACATTTTCAACACAACAGCTTAATTTGAAATATCTGTATCACTACATCCTAATATACAAAGTTTAAGAAATAAGATCAACTAACATAAAAATTTAACTAAAGCATTTTAAAAAAAAGTAATGAAACAATATTTAAGGATCAGCATAGCATCTAAATAAACTATCATGCTTTAAAAAAAATATGGCAATAAGTGGTAAAATTTTGATATTTGTTTAAGTTTAAGTAAAATATTCGCCTTAATTTTTCCAAAAGTGTCCACATGGAAGCTTGTTAATAACTAACAGCAAATGGGAACTTGACTAAAATGGGTGTGATCTTCCATCACAAGCCGGATGAGATGTGCTCAAGCTCACTTCAAGCCGGATGAGATGTGCTCAAGCTCACTTCAAGCCAGATGAGATGTGCTCAAGCTCACTTCAAGCCGGATGAGATGTGCTCAAGCTCACTTCAAGCCAGATGAGATGTGCTCAAGCTCACTTCAAGCCGGATGAGATGTGCTCAAGCTCACTTCAAGCTGGATGAGATGTGCTCAAGCTCACTTCAAGCTGGATGAGATGTGCTCAAGCTCACTTCAAGCTGGATGAGATGTGCTCAAGCTCACTTCAAGCCAGATGAGATGTGCTCAAGATCACTTCAAGCCAGATGAGATGTGCTCAAGCTCACTTCAAGCCGGATGAGATGTGCTCAAGCTCACTTCAAGCTGGATGAGATGTACTCAAGCTCACTTCAAGCTGGATGAGATGTACTCAAGCTCACTTCAAGCCGGATGAGATGTACTCAAGCTCACTTCAAGCCAGATGAGATGTACTCAAGCTCACTTCAAGCCAGATGAGATGTGCTCAAGCTCACTTCAAGCTGGATGAGATGTACTCAAGCTCACTTCAAGCCAGATGAGATGTGCTCAAGCTCACTTCAAGCCGGATGAGATGTGCTCAAGCTCACTTCAAGCCGGATGAGATGTGCTCAAGCTCACTTCAAGCCGGATGAGATGTGCTCAAGCTCACTTCAAGCCGGATGAGATGTGCTCAAGCTCACTTCAAGCCGGATGAGATGTGCTCAAGCTCACTTCAAGCCGGATGAGATGTGCTCAAGCTCACTTCAAGCCGGATGAGATGTGCTCAAGCTCACTTCAAGCCGGATGAGATGTGCTCAAGCTCACTTCAAGCCGGATGAGATGTGCTCAAGCTCACTTCAAGCCGGATGAGATGTGCTCAAGCTCACTTCAAGCCGGATGAGATGTGCTCAAGCTCACTTCAAGCCGGATGAGATGTGCTCAAGCTCACTTCAAGCCGGATGAGATGTGCTCAAGCTCACTTCAAGCCGGATGAGATGTGCTCAAGCTCACTTCAAGCCGGATGAGATGTGCTCAAGCTCACTTCAAGCCGGATGAGATGTGCTCAAGCTCACTTCAAGCCGGATGAGATGTGCTCAAGCTCACTTCAAGCCGGATGAGATGTGCTCAAGCTCACTTCAAGCCGGATGAGATGTGCTCAAGCTCACTTCAAGCCGGATGAGATGTGCTCAAGCTCACTTCAAGCCGGATGAGATGTGCTCAAGCTCACTTCAAGCTGGATGAGATGTGCTCAAGCTCACTTCAAGCCGGATGAGATGTGCTCAAGCTCACTTCAAGCCGGATGAGATGTGCTCAAGCTCACTTCAAGCCGGATGAGATGTGCTCAAGCTCACTTCAAGCCAGATGAGATGTGCTCAACAAGCTCACTTTCAGTCATTACCTTATCACAGACAATAAATACCATATGTTTAAAAAAAATCATCTACCATCAAATAGAAGGTGAGGACGCTCTATCATCATTCTTCTCCATGAACTACCATATTTCTTTTTGCTGCTTGCAGCATTTACTCCCCAAACCCTGAAATATTGTTCTGACAATTAATCTTACATTAGCGCAAATGATACAATGATATAGAGGTTTGTGTGAAACAACAGCAATCTGGTTAATATAAATTAACAACATATTAACAAATTAGAACACAAAATTATTTAATACACTTTGAAAAAAATTCCTTGAAATAAAAAAAATAATTTTTTTTTAAATATTCATTTTTAATAAAATCGTGAGAACAAAATAGGAATAAGTCGATTGATTATAAATAAAAACATATATTCAGGTTTATATTATTTGTTTTATAAACTGTTCTGAATATGAATATCTCCTTATCAAAGCTAACATGTTCTGAATATATGTACCGGTATATCCCTAGTATCTAAGTTGACCTATTCTGAATATATGTATATCCCCAGTATCTAAGTTGACCTATTCTGAATATATGTATATCCCCATTATCAAAGTTGACATATTCTGAATATATGCATATCCCCTGTATCTAATTTGACCTGTTCTGAATATATGTATATCCCCATTATCAAAGTTGACATATTCTGAAAATATGTATATCCCCAGTAACTAAGTTGACCTGTTCTGAATATATGTATATCCCCATTATCAAAGTTGACCTATTCTGAAGGTATGTATATCCCCAGTATCAAAGTTGACCTATTCTGAATATATGTATATCCCCATTATCAAAGTTGACCTATTCTGAATGTATGTATATCCCCATTATAAAAGTTGACCTATTCTGAATATATGTATATCCCCATTATCAAAGTTGACCTATTCTGAATGTATGTATATCCCCATTATCAAAGTTGCCCTATTCTGAATGTATGTATATCCCCATTATAAAAGTTGACCTATTCTGAATATATGTATATCCCCATTATCAAAGTTGACCTGTTCTGAATGTATGTATATCCCTATTATCTGAGTCCGTCTCCCTAATCTGCCTCTCAAGCTACTCACCTATCACAGGCCTTTTTCCAAAGCTTCTCGTCTCTTGCACACAAGTAAAATCCACGGCACACCTGTGCTCCAGGAAAGTGATTATCTCATTAACAATACAGTTGTTATCACAGTTTTTGTGAGAGATACTAGCTTAGTTCATTATCCATTTTATTTTTCAGGCCCATAAAATGATATAGCAGTTCAAGAAAGAAATCCTAGACCCCTGGGTCCATTTTTATTGGATACTACGACCTTAAGGTATAAAATAACTTAGTGCGCACAGGTTCAAAGCCGTTAACAAAATGTTGAGAGAGTCAAATAACAAAACTCACCGCAGAAAACATCTCCAGTGACCTGAGGTCAAGGTCACTGGTAACCACCCACTGCAGTATGTAAATGATTAGCTCCACTGGCAAACTGGAAATATGGGTCATCTGTTGGAAGAGGATTAAGTAATGAAAAAAACAGCCTGAGGTAAAAGGAAATTTTACAATAACAAGTCAGGATCTATCAGTTGTATCTCTTGTTTATCAAGTAAAACAAGTCTATAAATGTTATTGCTTTATCATTTCTTTTATTCATAAACCCTTAACGTCTCCCACTTTTAGTAAACACATGGAAATGTGAGCCACCTAGCAGTCGTTAAAGACAATATTCTTTTTTAAATAAATCAAAATTGATACCACCTCATTTAGAGTTCATCAACTTGGTGAGGTCAGGCTACAAATTTTCATTTAAAAAGAAAATAATCAAATGTTCAGTGGAAATGAAGGTTTAACCAGTTTTAGCTGCTTCAGACATTTGTCTTTAAAAGCTGAACAGCAAAAATATGGTTCTAAGACGAAGTGCAGCGTATTTCTTTGCTCCATTAATTGGTAGTTAATGAATGTCTTAAAGTACATGTTTCTGTGACATGCCATCACATGGGTAAATGTTTCTGTAACATGCCATCCCAACATTGGTAAATGTTTCTGTGAAAGCCATCACAACATTGGTAAATGTTTCTGTGACATGCCATCACAACGTCATATACTAAATGTTGCTCCTACTTTGGGTGACATGCCATCACAACTTACCCTTTGCTCATACTCTGGATGACAGAGAGCTTCATCCTTCAATCTCAGACTTTCAAAGTGAGTCAACAAATCTTCATCAATTTCACTGTAACAGAAATAAGCATTTTTTATTTGAAGGGAATATTTTTTTAAAAAACTTGTTTTAGTCAAGTGTTAGTTTTTTTCATTTTTTAGGGGGGGGGGGTTTGGGTCCCCCCCCCCCCCCCCCAACTGGCTGTTCTAAATTTAGGTCACATCCACATCTAAAATTTTCATATTACAAAAGATGTTTTAAAAAATGACCTTCTTTTATTATAAAATTGCACTCGAGAACAAAACAGCTATTCTGACCATACAATGATTCACTCAAGAACGTTACAGCTTTTCTGACCACACTATGAGTCACTCAAGAACATAACAGCTATTCTGACCACACAATGATTCACTCAAGAACGTAACAGCTATTCTGACCACACAATGATTCACTCAAGAACGTAACACTGACCACACAATGATTCACTCAAGAACGTAACAGCTATTCTGACCACACAATGATTCACTCAAGAACATAACACCAAACGCTGTGCTGCTGACCAATTTCAGGGAACAGCAAAAGGACTTTCCAAAATAATATGTGCAATGCAATCAAAACAAATTTCCATTTATTTTGATTGATAAAAGCATCTTATCTTATACGTGCGGCACTATTGGTCAATTCAGACTCCAGTACAAAGACTAGATTATTATCGACAAATTTTATACTTTGATCTCATATCTACTTCAATCTTTATTGTTCATGCTTTCAGCTTCTACAAATGATTTTCCTCTCTTACTTTTCTGGTCCAAAAGTCTCGCTGTCTTGTCTACCTGGAGACACACAATAAAATAAATGGCCTATTCAAAGTAAAAATTTGACAAAAGGAGAGCAAAACAGAGAGCTATCTATTAATGAGGATTTAATTTTTTTTTTCATTACAATTCATAAGTGTTTTAATTAAAATCAAGGAAGCCACATAGGGATTTTTAAAACATTAAATTGTAAAGTAAACATTAAAGTTTTATCAACAATAACAAGGACTTGATCAGAAATGTTCAATATTAATGAGTGGATTTCACCAAACATACATCAACAGCTCATCAATTAATGCCAACATCAGATCTAAGTCATCAGGGTACTTAAACCAACCTCGTTCCCATGATGGCTTTGTAAACACAGATCCCAACTTTGATTCAATATCTGGAACAAGTTGTAGTGCCTTTCTGTAGTAGTAGATGGCTGTTTAGAGATAAATTGTTGTTAACATAATTTTTTAATGTGATTTTCACAAAATTTAACACATACAGTAAGTAGCTTGTTTTCAAATATTTATTTAAGTGTGACTTTCAATGGAAGCTCAGGCAGCAATGTAACTAGGTAACAATTTTAATCTGGTTCTCTCTAATAGCAATGAAAATGAGCCACACAAAATTTGTTTACAGGGGGAATAATCTGGCAACTCTAACTAACTGCCTCCTCCTCACCACATTCGCACATGTAAAGATCTACTAGCCTCCTCACATCACCCTCACATGTAAAGATGTACTAGCCTCCTCACCCCATCCTTACATGTAAAGATCTACCAGCCTCCTCACATGTAAAGATGTACTAGCCTCCTCACCCCACCCTCACATGTAAAGATGTACTAGCCTCCTCACACCACCCTTACATGTAAAGATGTACTAGCCTCCTCACACCACCCTCACATGTAAAGATCTGCTAGCCTCTTCACCCCATCCACACATACCTCAAAGATAACAATGCAAGGTATGTACAGTAAATTAATCCTTCATTTAATTATAATTTTCTATTTAAAATGCACAGTATTTAAAATGTATTATTTATTTGTTTTAGTTCTTTTTAAATTGTTTATTTCATTTTATTTACAGCTCTTATCTCACTAACAGCTTTAGGAGATGTGCATAGTTAACAGCAAACCAAACAACATTTTACTAAAAAATTCATGGTATATAACAGTCTGGAGTGTAACTCGTTCGTCAAGTGGAGAGCGTCTGTAATAAATTTTATTTATAAAGTTGCAGCATGTTCAGGTGATATGTAAAAATAAATGTGTTTATTTATTAAAGAATATCAGATAAGCATGTCCAAATTAAGCGAAACAAATAAGACTAAACAAAATAGGATTAAGTTCCACCATAACTATTTAAATTTCATGAACGCTTTTTTTTTTCAGTAATACCTTCATTTAACATTCCATCATCTTCTGCTTGCATGCCTTGTAAGAAATACGCTCTGGCCTGTTTTAAAACAATGTTGGAAAGCTTTATATTCAATTGTATATGTAAACTAAAGTATATGGATTTAAAGCATGGACTGAAAAAAGTAATTTGCTTCTTTAAAGAAGGAACTGGAAATGCAAATTTTCAAACAGTGAGTTTACCTCATTTTCCATGTCATTGGCTTGTTTTGTTTTGTTGTGATTATTTTTGGGACTCTGGCCACGACTTCCTGGTCGTTGCTGCAGTTCGTCCTGCCATTGTTGGCGAAAGACTTCAAGCTTATAAAAGAAAAAGGAAAGGTTGCACTAATTGCTGTATTATATTCAATTTTTAATTCATAGAAACATTTTTATATTTTAATATTGATGCAAGATAATTCAATGTGTAGCATATTTTTTGATATTCAAACTAATTTTAAAATACAGCAAACCTAGGAGCATTTGCATTCTGAATCTTTAAAAGGAAATACCTGATCAGTCACATCCTGCGCATCATTGTTCTGTCTGTTGCTATCACTGTCAGATATGATTTCATGGTTCCCATGGGATTCTGGGCCTTTAGGATAATCTTCTTTTTCATTGTCTGAATCACATGCATTCAAATTTGCACCTTGTTCATCATTTTCAGATATATGACTTTCTGACTGATCACTGACAGGATGATTTAAATCCTTTTACAGGAAAGAAAAAAAAAGTAAAGTAGTGTCTGTTAAGCATGTATTGGTCAAGTATGTAGGGCATACATTGGTCAAGTCCTTATGGCAAAGAATGTGATCTTAAGTCTTTAGGACTGTAACTGAACAGTGTCTTTAAATTAGAGTTGCACCAATAAGCAAATAGGATTACTGATTAATCAGCTTTTCCACACTGAGTCTTTATTGAGCTGAGTAACTGGTAAAACAAATGATTAGGCCAATGACCTATTATAATATATATATATTATAATATATATATTCAGTCATGGATTTTACTTTTTTTTTAATTAGCAAACCCACACCAATCAGCATGTATTAGTGAAGTATATATCAGTAAACACATAGATCCCTTTTATTACCTGCCAGTCATCTCTATTCTTGAGAGATCTTAACAATGTCAATAATAAGACTTTTTTTTGTATAAAAGGCATTAGAAATGTTGGTTCCCCCAGTAGCAGAAATGTCATGTTGAGAGATGGGCTGAGCTGCTGATGCTATCAATTGGTTCATATGTGATCAATTTAATAAATTAAAAAATAAATAGGGCTTAGGTCAGGGCTAGGCCTCTGTCACTGTCAACGGTTCAAGTTTAATCATTTTATATAATGGTATGGTCGTGGAAGTTAGCAAATAATAATAGTGCCTTGAGTGAGCCTGAATTATGTAAAAAGATTTTTAAAAATTGTGGACAACTTGTACTTTTAGAGTTTTCTGGTTGTAAAGTTGCAGCTTGTTGCACTACAACAATGAATGGCATTCATTCAATATCACTCATAAGTAATTCCGACTGATATTAATTATTAATGAATATTGCACTTGCATTGAGAGCATCAACATTGTCATAATTTTTTTTAAATTTTCATACCAGTCATACTCATTGTGATTGAATTAATTGATTAATAAATTTGTTCATTTTAATTTATGAATTTATGCTTCTTTTCATGAACAATCCAAATCCAAATAAGTCAAGTCATACCCTACTATTCACTACTGCTATCACTAGTAGTAATAATAATAATAAAGTTAATTTTAAAAACACGCTTCATCCCCTAAAGCTCGAAGCGCGGTAGTAGCTAGTATTACTTGGACTAGTCTGTTTCAAGTTCAAGACTGCGTAGTGTGTAGTGAACGTTAGGAGTATTAAAAGTAGTGACGAAACAATAATAAAATATTAATAAAGTCAAAGTGTCAACGACAACGGTCATCTTGTCTAGTCAAGTCAAGGCACTCAAACTCAACAAGGCCAGGGCCTTAAGTTAGATTTTATATCAAACAAAAGACAGAGACGGTGAAATCAATTAACCACATCTTATGAAACTATTTTTATTGAGCAATATTTACCATTGTAAAATAATAGTTATAAGGTATAAACTCAAACGGATAGGTCTCTAAAAGAAAAGCAAACAACTAAACCAAAATAAATCCTGGCTCGTCTTTCGGCAGCCATTTTTCTTTCAGATTTTTAGATGTACCAACCACCGTTGCCACTCCAAACTTTGAAAAAAGACAAGGAAAAACCATGTCTATAAAAAATCATGGAAAATAATTATGTGTAAACTGCCTTTAAAAGACACAAACTCTGCAATACTATAAAAAATGGTGAAGTCAAAACAAAAAATGAAGTAGGTAAACCTTTACCCTAAATAAATTGACCTCACTGTGATGTTTAAGCACATACGGTTATCAGTCTTCACCCTTATCATAAGGCTTAAATGGCTATTATATTCTTTAAAAAAAAAAAAAAAAAAAAAAAAAAAAAAAAAAAAGTATAAAAAAAAAAAAAAAAAAAAAAAAAAAAAAAAA